CATTCTGTTACATTCCTTCGCGCACGGCGTCTCTCACCGCGACGCGACAATTTCGTTCCTGCTGCCTTAAACCCCATTTTCCTGACATGAAGGTGTTTATCCTCTGTGCCCCACAGCTATTAAATATCGTCTACTTTATGTGATTTTTTCACTTTCGATTGGGTTTTCATTACCTGCGATTGAGCTATGCCTCCATAGTATGCCGATGGTTGGGCTACGTCCTTCATGCGCTCAACGACCCATTTGGTGTAAGCCTCTGATGTAAGATTCTTGGCCAACGTCTCTGCGGATTTTACGAAGGCAACATCACCGAGCAGGGTTCTGGAAGTTACAGGATTGATATAAAAGCGTGCAATAGAAATTACTATGAAGCAAGAAAAGTCTACATGGATTCTTCAAACTGTTAAAATAATTTTGCTGCTTTCATTTTTTATGGATTGGAGGCAGACTTGAGACTGAATTTTCGCTGAGAGGAGGTAGGCTAAAACTATCAATAGACCACTTTAAAAATATCTAGAAAAGTTGTTATATTACGACGCAGTCAAGAACAAATTTCAGCAGATGATCCACTTCTTGAATTCTACCGCTGCCCTCCTTTCCAACGGTTCCTACCTCTGTGCATATGCGAATTTCATTGCTTCGATGAAGTGGTGCATGGCTTTGGGATCGCTGAGAATATCTGTCCCATGCTTCTCCGGGTAGAGGGCTGAAATTGCGATTTCGCACCAAAATAATGATCCATTAGGCAAGTCATGAGGGAGGTTCCATGGCTAAGCTTCTGGCGAACTTACCACTCATCACCGAAACGATTAGCTGTGTGACAACGAATGATGACGGCGGTGGTCCACCACACATGACAAGGTTTCCTCGGAAGTGCGTATTAGCCAGCTGTTGGTAAACCCTTGGTTTGTACGACGCAAGGTCTTCTTTGGTAATGATGCCACCTGAACCACACGATACCATTGTATTGGAAACTGTAGTCATTGTAGGGAAATAACCTAAAGATTAGAAATCCCCCCAAAACCCGAGGGAGGATTCAGGGGAAGGTGACTTTTCGGATAACTGCCGAACCCTTGGGGACCGGTTCACCCCCGGTTCCCCAGGGTTCGGCAGTTAGACTCTAGAATTCACTAAAATCTGTCAGAATCTTGGAAAAGTCCTTTCTGCTGTTGATTCTGAACAAAAGATAGAAGTGAGACAAATGTTGGACAAGGAACTGACTCTTTCAAGGGGGATTGTTTCTTTACTTAAATGTAAAGCCTCAAATTTTTGCAATAGAAAAATTGAACATGCTATGCTTACCTCCCTCAGCCATTTCCCTAGCGATAGTATCAGCCATTTCACCACGATAAAACAGCTTTACAGGATCATTGGAGTTGGCGAGTTTTTCCAACGTTTCTGCTAGTTTAGTTCGAGGAAGAAGGTCACCAACTTTATAGGTGGAGTTGGTGAGCGGGTTGATCCATGCTCTAGATATACAGTAACAGATTTGAATAACTATGTAGAATATATAATTGCTGGAAGAATGACCCTGTTTCTTTGAACAATGTTTGAAGAAATATAAGAGTTAGAGCTGGCAGTCTTTTGATGCTAACCAATCCCGTTGCTTGGGATGTACACTGCATTCGACCTCCACTCAGAACATAGGTCTGTTTTTATTGTGTGTGGCTTACAAGCAGATATTAGAAATTCATGTCGAAATCCGTATTTTTTTTACGAAAGATAATAGCGGACTTTTTCTATTGTTTTTGTACAGCCGGGTAGAAGTAATTCCTCGGGAATATTCTACTCATGGGCGGAGGTGGTGTAATGGCAAGTGGTGCACTATCTCACACGCTCGGTCAGGGGTTCGAATCCTAGATAGATATCCGCCTAGACCAACCAAGCCTTAAATCCCTCCGGAGTCGATTAATTGGTAACAGACTTGTTTGGGAGGATAAAAGCACCGACTTTTTACTGGCTGGCCACTGCAATTCATAGGTACATACGGCCACATACGCACGCGGGGGCGCATCTCTCAGACAGGATTGACTAACGCCAAAAAACTTCAACCTTTATCCTTTTTTCATTGAAAGCTTATTTTCTGAACTGTGTCAGCCGGACTTCCTCAACAGAGTGTACCACGGCTCGCCTTATGGGACTCGAAGTTGGTGACTTAAAGCTCTAATTGCGGAACTTGAATGCTGCTTAACACGGTTTTACGGACTCACTTCATACTTGGGAAGAGACGGAAGTGCCGTTCTTTGACTTTCATAACGTTGTCCAAGTACTCGGATACAGGAACACCGTCGCGACAGAGTTTTGCCGACGGCTCAATGAGATCCTTCCAAGCAACACGACCTTAACATCAGTAATTGGAATCTTTCGTTGCATTTGCTTCAGAATGATCTCCCACCAAGGTTCTACCATCAGTGAAAAACTCCTATGTCAACTCAGGGCAATGATCAGTAACTCATGTGACGTTTTATTGTCACCCCGTATTTATAACTACAAGAAGACCATGATATGATGCTACTATTAATTTCGAGCTGAAATCCCACTTCGATAGTCTGTTGTAGTTTTGTTATTAAGTTACTCGTCTCTGTTGCTCACTCCGTAATTTCTTGGATGAAAACTTCAAGACACTTTAAGTATGCGTCGTACCAATGAAAGACAGTTCCGAAATTCAAACAGTTTCCATTTTCTGATTTCAGTTCGATTTTTTCTATTTCAAAGCTATTCATACAGATTGTCACCTGAGAAACGTTATGTGGATGACAATACCGAAGGCTCCACGCTTTGAATCAAAATAACTGCAGAGCGTTAATGAAGAAGAGCAGAGTGCATGCAGCGAGTTTGCTGACTCTGTCCCATCCAAATGCCCTTCTTTCAAACCTAGGCCTGTTAAGGTACTCGTCGATCCGACATCTTCGGACTACAAACATTGCGGCACCCCGTCATTCACTACCGATATCTTCTCTTCCAAGTTGGATATTGTCACGTGGCTAACTTTGAAGCATGATGAGCGTTTCCGGTTTCACTGAGAATGCTGGTGAGATATTCAATTGTGCTTTTAATCGGCATTTCCACTTCAGGAAACTTTGATGCAAAGTCAGCTTTTTCGTTGTTGTTAAATTGCCTCCAGCGCGAAACACATACTCCACAAGAAGTACTCGTTGTTCAGTCGTCAGTATGATTGGAACTGAGTCACAATGATTTCCCATAGGTTTTTCGCTGCAACCAAACCAGAACTGCGAGAATAGGAGTGCTTATGTGCAGTTTGATAATCATATCAGTCATTACCCAGCGCCTTACAACATGGCACTGTATAGTTACTTTCTGAACTCTTTGTACAGCACCATAATCCGAGTGATATTATGCAATGGATCCATATTACATAGGCGCATTGAATGGGAAAAGAAATTTGATGAATGCTTACCCGATCCGTGATGAGTGAAAGCGTACCAGTAACCTGCTAGTTCTCCTGGCGTACCAGCTGCTTTGAACCCTATAACATAGGTTCTTATTTAAATCTCAACAGGCATCCATTCAGGAATCCCGCCTTGAATTTTAGCTGAAATTATAGTATACCATATTTCGATCCATCACTATCATTCCTGAACATGTCCCGATGAGCTGCTGCTGGTGCCGTTTCCCTGGCGTCAATCGCAAGACATTTACCCTCGGTCCTGAACAGAAGAACGTCATCATTTTCAGGAGTCATATTCAAGAATCGAACGATGCAAAAAAAAAACTGTGAAACGTAAATCTATGAATTCTGACATATAAATTAGGTTTCGGGAGCTAATCTAAGCACATTTCGGATTTTTTTCATTCTGGGTCACCCATGGGACTTCGGAGCATTGCCCTGGTAAAACTTGAAAGTCCACTCACCTGTTGTAGATGGTCATCAAGAAGCCTCCACCAAGTCCACTCGACTGCGGGTTTGTCACTCCCAAGCAGAACATCACGGCTATGGAGGCGTCAACTGCATTCCCACCTCTCTTCAGGATGTTCCTTGAAATGATTTCATGTTTATACGGTATAAAAACCATTCTATAAAAGGAAAACGAAAACGAAATTTTTATTGGAGGGTACGTTTGAGCAGTAATGCTCTAGGCAATCCCATTTTTTACGTAAAGATAAAATTTTTTATGAAATATCCCAATGATGTGGCCGTAGAATTTCATGCACTGATGGATCTATGAAATCGAAGAACATATCATGAAACGAGCGTACCCTCCGATCTCAGAGCAGATCGCGTGGTCTGTGGTGACTGCTGCTTTTCGGAATTTGCCTTCGACACTGTTTGATGGTGGACCCCATTCGAATGGAACTTCACCAATAAGCGGCTGAAATAATCAGCTAATTTTATCCAATTCTATGTGTGTCCAATTCTATGTTCATTTATTATACGATTAATCTGGGCTATCTAGTTTTAGAACAAGTAATGGGAGTGGTAGTTCAAAATAGTGCAAAAGTGGCGGAAGATAACGTGAAAATGGGTATTTTTGGATAAAAAGCTTAAAAGCTTCAAAGAGAAGTAAAATTAGGGGTTGGGCGAAAATGTTAGAGAAAAATTACACGAGAGGGGTATTGACAAGATACGCGGAACAAAGGCTACAACTGGGTGCAGTACGCTGCCTGCGTGGAATGTGTGGGTCCTGAAGTGAATGGCGCAACGTTTACAGCTTCTATGAGCTTAACTTCTCGTCTGCCTTGGGTGTATACGTCGGCTAAGCCGGTTTTGGAGTGCCCTTATACGCCCTATCTTGATTGTTTTTTCGACCCGATAGCGTCCCATAGGCTATCTTGGGGTCACAGGTTCATCCTAGGGAGAAATCTCGCAAGCTATATTCAACGTGATTTTTGCCTTCGACTTTGTTCTTTGCTGAGATTTAATTAATCCCAATGTTTTGTGTGGATGTTTTCTGCACTGTCCCGCTGGGATCCAAATTTATTTTTCATTTTATTTACTCAGATAGCTATTTAATTACTCAACTGTTTACTCGTTTATTAATTTGTATTATCCTAGGTAGCATACGGTTCAGATGCTTCCTGTGCAACAGGTATATATAGGTTGAGGGAGGGATACTGCGTGGCAAAGTCCGATGGAGGACAAATAAATAAGAAAAAGTTGCAAGCAGTTTAGTGAAGCCCTCTGTACTGGCGATCGGTACTGCCACAGCCTTACGCCTGTACAATTCGCGGGGATTCGTGGTCCACTCTCGTCGCAAACGCTGCTATTATAAACTACAAGTGTAGCAGTCCGCAACAATTTTCCCACCCAACGCCTCCGTACCCTTGCCTAAGGCCTTCATTCGATAAAGATGACAAGTGGTTGGGGAATTTCTTCAATAAAACCCCTAGAGACAGATTCAAGGTGACCACACAATTCTAGCAGGCAATTTCAGTAGGCGCTATATGTGATTCCATGGATATTAAAGGGAACAAAGGAAATATTTCCCCGCGTTGAGCCATAGCACTGAGAGATCAACATCGATCCGTGCCCTTTGCTAATGGGAACAAGCTTGGTGATTTTTAAGTTGTTAGCTGTTTTTCTATTCATTGGCCAAGGGACATATACTATATTTGGCGGTCGTTTGACGCGGCCCTTCGCAACCACTTTGCCAGTAGGGAGGGAAAATGTGCTCTAGTGCTACTTCGCCGTCTGTCACAAAGAGCAATGCCTGAGTCGAACAACTCGTCCAAGCAAACAACCCTTCAATAGCGGCTGTCCCCCTTATACTAGTTGCCTTGTTGGTACGAGGCAGATCCTCTCTATATGCGAGAATTCGTCATTGTAGTCCCTATACCTTCTCCAACGGAGTAGAAAGGAAAGAAAAAGAAAGGTCATCAGAATGGAGAAATAGGCTGTTCAGAAAAGTTCGAAGCAACAAATCAGTCATCCTGGTAGTAAGAAATTTTGGTTTCTCCTCCGTAATAACTATTAACCACTTACACTCACATTACTGCAATAACATCATATACTTAACCTTGAATATGCAATATAATTTTGGCATCTCGTTTGGGTCGTGCCCCAT